AAAACATTGTGGTGTTGTATTTGGAATATCAAGAATATTTTGAAGTTTCTATTACTTCAGTAAATACCAGTCTAGAAAAATACTGGTTGTGTTATGCTTCCGCTTGAGCATAAATATTAGATATGGAGGTGTACGTGTTTGTGTGATGGGGATGGGCGTGGTGTTCCTCTTGTTGTTGTTTCTGATGCTTGTTTTGAGGCATTTGTTGAGCACTGGTGTTGAGCAAAATCTCCAGAAGCCAAGGATTTAGAGGGTTAGGCTTCTTGCTGAAGATGCTAGGAGCTGATCATGTTCATACAGTTTAGAATGGATCAGGTTATATAGAAACAGTGATTTAAGAAAAAATGCTATTTTCACTTTTAGTAAACTTACTCTTGAATGTGTAAAAATACGAAACGATAGTGCAACATGTAGGTACAGGTCTTTAAGTATGTAGGTTTAGTATTATATAAGAAAGATCTTTTGGACAAGTTAAAATCTGAATAAGAAGAGTTACTGGCCTAAACACTTGTAGTTTGAGTTTTTCTTAATGCTTAAATCAGCTTTTGATAGTTGTAATTGTCTCTGAAATGAGAACAGAGATTCTCTTACAAGGTGGTTCATCTGGTTTGAGTCAATGAGCGACTTACACTGAGAAAGCAGGAAGTATTTTTGTCTTTTGTTTTCCTTCGCTCTGTAGGTAAAAATTATGCTAGAGGATCTGCCAGACCCAACCTTGAGACACATGACCAAAATAAGAGAACTAGATGTGAGGTACACACAAAACTGCTGCTATTCATTAAAACCTTACATACAAAACCAAACCATGTACTTCAAGCTTATCTTCTCCAATACTTGCATTTCAGAGTAATGGCTTATAATTGAAATAACATTAAATACTGGGTTTGTACATTTAATCAAATTTCAATTTCCATACAAATGAAGCTAAGCAGAAAAGAACTAACAACTAGTGTAACAAATGAAAAGTGGCATTTCTTTGTTTTAAAAGCTGAAATAGTTTCAGATCTATAGTTGCTATGTAAATGCTGAAGTCTAACATGCATCTGTAGTTTTAGCTACCAAAAGAATTTCTTAAAGTATCAGACTTTACTGGTGAATCTCTTTATTAAAGAGGGATTTAGTTACTGCAGGTAGAAGAACTCAAACTTTCATAATTAGTGATTGCAGTCACTGAATTTAATCCCTGTACTAAAGCACTCTCCTGAACTGAGACTTATAATTTTGGAGGCTTTAATTTAGACTTCTGGCTCTTCATCTCTACCTCTTAAATTGTGAATTGCCGAGTCATCAAGGTTTTTGTGCCGCTAGTGGTTTATAGAGCAGAGTTAAGAACATCGGTAATTTCTGCTTTAGGAGAGGTTTGGTTTTTTTACTTTTTTGTACTGGTTCTTGTAATGGTGAACTTCAGTTTCTTGAAAATACAGGTTGAAATTTGGATTTTGAAACCTTTGTGTTCACCTAATGCTGGACAGGAGATGTTTATTGTATGTACCTGAGACAGGACCTCTGGCATTTCTACTGGATGTAGCATTTCTTCAGGCTGAGTTACTTTTACATCTCTGTCTTACACTGAAGGAGGATAACTAGTCCTGTGAAGACAGTATCAAAGCATTCTCATTTACCCACCAGCTTGTCCTTGCAGAAGTGTTTGATGAGTAACTGGTGCTTGTAGTCTAGAAGGGTACTTTTTGAGGTCCATGGGCAGTTGGTTTCTGTCACTTGGCAGACATTTCTAGAGCTTGCTGGTTTTTGCTCATTCCCAAGAGCTATTTTCACCTCTGCAGCTTCTCCTACCCTTGTGGTGGTGTGACCTGATACAGGTTTTCACGGTCAGAGCTGTGACTCTGGTTGGTAATCAAGGCTTTTCTTATGGTACAGTAGTGAAGGTCACAGCTATGTTCACAGGGCAGCTTCTGGTAGCACTGGGCTGAAACTAACTGCTTTGCCTCTGAGGAGATGTGTGTAATCCCAGGATATCGGAAAACATCTTCTATCAGAGCTAATATTTAAAAACTAAATACATTAGTAAATGTTTTAGCTTCATTGGCAGACAACTATTATGAGGCCAAATTCCGCATTAATTGATACCAGCTCAGTACAATTATATTTCTGCTGAATTAGTTGGAGCATACGGTCTTTGTGGTTTAGGGGGACAAACTGTAGCTGATCTGACTTAAAATTAATGTAAACAGACAATAGCTTAATTTGATCCAAAGCTTACTATTTCAAAGCCAACTGACCAAATTCATTTAGGAATCTGAACTAGCAAGGTGGACTTGTATTGAATCAACACTTTGCCTCTTGTGCCTATTACAACGTTGATTTGATATTGGGAAGCTCTAAAATGAGATTTACCATGTTGAAAAGTAGTCTCAGTTACTGGATATAGATCCTCCCTGCCTTTCTTTCAAGTAAAACAATTGATTTGCGTGACTAATTATCCCTTGTCTTTTGCAATAAAAAAGTGGAAGATGAATAAGAAATTAGTTCCAGTTTAAATGCAAGCAGGAGGTGTTCTAATACAAGTGCACCTCTGAAAGACTTAAAATGAAGCAGAAAATGCAGGTTGCAGGTACTGTAATGCCCTGGCAGTGTGTTGACCAAGCGTGCATCTGCAGGAAGGATGCACTGTGGCTTCCCAGCGCTCAGGCTCCAGAAGGAAAATGTTCTCAATTACACAGAAAGATTACAAGAGATGATTAAACCTGAAAGGGCTTCCTGGATTGGTTTATAATGGGAAAAATGTGTTTGCTTTATGAAACATGTGAAGCTGGCTGGAAATTAAAGCAGGGTGTGTGTGTATTTTATGCATCTGTCATGAAGTTCTTCCTATGGATAATGCTTCTAGTAAATGTCTATTTTGAGTGCTTAGCAGAAAATCTGGAAATTAGCATGCTCTAAAGAAAATTTAAAAAGCTAGTTGAGCCCTATGTTGAAATACGTGGTAAGTGCTGTGAAACACCTGGCATTCAACATGTAATTGGGAAGATGTTTGGAACAAAAGCTTTCTGTAAGGATCTAAGCAACAACCTCAAACTTAAGGTTTTTTTTCCCCTGTAGGAAACCCAAATTTCTCTATAAGTCAAAAATCTAGTCTGTTTCATCACTAACTTAGAAAAATAACAGTAAGGATTTCTTGTTTATATGGCACACTGTAAATGTAGTTATAATCTTGCCTGTTATTTTTGATGCTTGATTAATTAAGCTTCCAACTGTTTTGTAAGATTTCTTTCAAATTTCAAATTACAGGTCCACGTCTAGCTTTGGCAAGACTTCTTTCAGGTGAGTGGCTTGTGGGCAGATTATATTACCTAATAACATGTCCCAGCAGATTAGTATTGGTTTTTTTTGGCCATCACTTGACAGTAAGTTTTATCTTTGGTTATATATTAAGCCTGTAGAGCTGGTGTATGGTCTGAACCTGATTTCAATTTTTCTTCTCCTCTTTATGTATAAAGTTAAGGAGTTTCTTGCTGTCTCTGGCCAATTCATAGCTCTTAATAAACTGTTGCTAGAGAGAACAGGTGGAGTGTTACCAGAGAATGGGTTGTTGTGAATTGTTGATATTTCTGACAGACACACATTCCTTCGGGTAGGGCTGTGCTGGTGAACCAGCAGGTTCCTTGGGTTTTAGGCAAGAAATGCAGTGTTGTCATGAAAGCAGCAGTCAGTACAGCTGGCTTATGCTCATAGTCTTACCTTATCTGTAGCCTTTGGCAGACTGTATAATTGTTCTGTACTTCCGTGTAGCCACTGGCAGAAGGATGCAGTGATTGGCAAGGTTTTTGAGCGTTAACATTGTACAAGTGCTTTGAAATGGTGAGGAGACTATAATGACACCACTGTTTGAAGTGTTTTCACGTTCTCACACTGCTTGAACTTTGTGATGTTTTGTAAGTTTATACCGCGTATAGTGCAAAAACTACAACTGCTTCTATTTCCAGTGTTTTACTTGCCTCCCATCTTTCCAGCATATGCCAGATGAATTTAATTGCTCTAAAATGAGATTTCAGCATACTAAATTTTGTGTTGTAGCAGAGCTAAGGCTGCATCTGATGCTTGAAAGAAAAAGAAGCCTTTTATGTTAGAACCTCTTATGTGAATCATAATAGTACTGCTGTAACTTGTCACGTCGTACATGAATGCTGGAGGTGGTTGCATTTCCATTTTTTCACTTCTAGGCAGTTGTTGATGCCGTTAGCTGATGTGGTATCGGTGCCTCTGCTCCCACAGCTGCTGGCTTATAGCTGAACTTGTGCCATTACATACTTCCTAACGATTTTGAAAATACAAAATGTTTTATCTTTAACAGCTGGTAGAAAATGTGTGGTTTTAGTGCTGCTAGGAGGTGAAAGGTTAAGATATTTTCTTTCTCATCCTCTCTTGCTGTGAGTTACCACCAATAGCTATGAACAGTGTGGGATAACTGGCTTTAGGGACAAAACAGGGACTGATATTTTTTGAAACTTTGCTGTTCTTTTGAAGAACTAGAATCTTCTATGGATAAAGAAACATTTTTATTTATTTTTTTTTTTTTTATATTTACCATACTCCTGGAAAGAACAATGTGTTATGTGATCACTTACATTTCAGGAAAGATGGATGGTTACACTGTGTACTGCTGTTCACCTCCGTTCATACATCTTCATGAATCCTGTTCTGCTGCTGGTGCCATCACTTGCTTTTTCTGTGGTACAATCATAGAATTGTCAGGGTAGAGACAGGCTTGAAATGTTTTCATGTTTCTGCTGTTTTGACTTAAAAATAGACTACTGAAATTAAGTGCTTGACAGGGTTGTGGAGACTAGCACCTATTCTGTGCATCCTCGCCTCACCCAAATTTCTCTGTTTCTTGGCCAAATATGTTCATTATAGGCTTCCATCTATTTTTATGTATGTATTTACCTCTGAAGGCTCCCACCCTGGCTAGCTGATGTGCTCTGCTGTGGGAGTCGTGAGCTTGGTGTGAAGGACTGTGTGGGACACATGGGGCTGAGAGGATGGTGTTGGCAGGTGCTCTGCTGCCTGCACTGCTGCCTGTGCTGCTGACCTGCCCACCCACTGCTGTATCTGGTCTGGATGACAGCCACCAGTATGCGTATGATGAGGCCTTAGTGGAAAAACCTGCACTCTATCAATGGCAAGAGGTTTCTGAAACTGTTGATCTTAAGCATCAGTCCTCAAGGAGGCCATCAGTTGTGTCCAAACCCAGCCTGAGCACAAGTGAGAGTGGCAGTTAGAATTTCTCAGATGATTGCATCTTGTTCCTCTTTGTGCTAAACCACAATAGTTGTCATGTTGAAGCAAAACAGTTCAGATGAAACTCTTTCTGAAACTGCACAAAATTTACATAGTTCATTAATAGGTGGGGACATGGGCCCTGGTTTAGGATAGCTCAGGAGTTATTGGCAGTATTTGCAGAAAATGGAAATTTTAATTTTGCAGTATTCTTTCAGTGTCACTTTTTCCCCCCCCCCTCTGCATAGCAGTTTGTGTTCCTTGGTCTGAAATAATTAGTGCATCTGACATCCATGGTTTCCATTGAGAACAATTGTTCAGCTGTTTTGAGTGGTGTTTTAATAGAAATGTTGTATACTCTTCCGTGTGTCCACATTCTTCAGAGAGGAGTGTCTATAATACAGGAAGTAATGACATTACAGCATGTAACTGGCATTTTTTTAATGCCCATAATATTGGGATGGAGTCATCCTTTTGTCTGCACCAGTTGTATGTAATTGTACATAAAACATTAATAGCCTGTATGAAGTTGTAGAGGCAAAAGTATTCTTTACTGGTTTTCGCATGTGTACAATGACTTGTGCTTTCCTGGTGGATGCTGCCTGTGAAACCAGAGGGCTGCAGAACAGCTTTCTTCACAGGGTGTGTGTGTGACTTCCGTTACAATCAAGCAGTAAAGAAATTAAAAGTTTATTTAATAAAGTATTGAATTTTGAATTGAATTTTGCTATAACTACAGGGGGATGCAGCAGTAGAAACCTGGAGCTGCATTGAGGATAGTCTTTCATGATCTGAAATATTTACCACAGTCTCCAGTGTAAATTCTGTACTTGGAACAACAATGTGATGATTTACTGAGGACTTGACGCTTTTCTGTGAACTTCAAATTTCAGCTGGAGGTTTTGTGTTTGTTTTAGTTTTGTTTGGTGTGGGTGTCCCCTCCCTCCCCCCCCCTTTGGTTGATAATAACCTCAAATGGTGATTGGTTCCTTGGTGTGCTTTCTGCTAATCCAAAATGTGTAAAATTTTCCTCTTCTGCTACATTGGGCAAACGAAGCTTAACCTTTTATTTCTCTAATCAGGGGGAATAGCAAGTTTTATTCCCCTTTTTCCTCTTTGGGCTAAAGAAATTACTTCACTTATTGTTCAGGGAGAGGGAATTATTATGACCTAAGGTGATAGATTATTTTATTATTATTATTTTCCTTGTTAGCTCTTTGGACTGAGTAAAATTCTAACTGGGTGAGCACACTCTTGTCTTGCTGTAAGGTCTGTTGTGGCCATCAGTAGTCTGGCAGGTCTGTGTGAGTTCTTAGCCATTTTGTGACCTGGATGTTTGCTCTGAGTAGGTGGTTGCTAAGAGAATGTGCCCGCTTTTATTTTTCTAGAAGACCAGGTCTGTGCTTTGCAGAGAAACCAGTACTGGAACTGGATTTTAGTCTAACATCAAATTAGAAGCCTGTTACCAATATCCTATACCAATTACTAGGTGTACAGGTACAGTTTTTATTGGGAGTGCATGGTGACTTGGTTTTATTATGCCTGGTCATGTTGTCTGAACACTTAAGTGTGACCTCTGTCTTGATTTAGATTAAATGTGTGTTTCATGAAGGTAACAACTGCAATTACAGCTGCTCTTAGGTTGTAAACTGCGGATGAGAGAATACATGCTAGTATGTTAAATTTTGTTGTTGAGATTTCTCCCTGCAAAGTTACCTACTTGATCCTTTCACAATCACCCCCCACAAAAGCTGGTCATTCTCTAGATATGGGTTACCTGGGATTGTTGTAGCTCGCTGAGAGGAAAACGTGCTAAATTGTTCAGAAATGTTGGGTTTGAAAATTTCACAACCACCATCCAGAAGAAAGATGGGCAGTGATGGTCTGGTGCAGAAGTGAACCTATGGATGCTAATGGGGACATCCAGACCTACCATCTGTAAACAAGCTTAGGACTGTTCACTTGTATAGCCAGATGATTTTTTTTTTTTTTTCTCCTGGAAGATGTTTTGAGGGACGCAAAACGAAGCTGTATTCTTAGGTGCTGGCATTTGATAGATGGAATTGATATGAAAAAGCTTTGTAGAAAATTGTACTTTTTATAATGGTAATTAGGTCTGACAGTATAATGATGGCAAGTAGGCAGTACTCTTACAGAACTTACAGAAGCAGGAACTAAATGTTTGCAGATATTGACAGTTTCTTGTAAAGGATATGTTTGCATGGAGAAGTTCTACAGAAGAGCTTAAGCTAGGAAGTGAAAGAAGATTCATGGCTATAGAAATTGTTTTACAAATAGGTCTGTGAAATGGCTCTGAATCAGGCTGGACATCTGCACAAGTCTAGTGGGTCCTGCTGTGCATAGTGATTGGAATGGAAATAGGATTCTGAATTTATTGTGTAATCTAGCACTTAACTACCATAGCATATTTCTGTTGAACTTTGGTTCTAAGAAACGTGAATAAGCAGTCCTCAGTGCCCCGCTAGAAGTAAATGGGTAACTCTATGGTGATAGCTGCTCACAGGAAGTTTTTACCAAGGATGTTTAAGAGAATTATTTCCCAAGCACTGGAAGCCGGCCCTCCTGACTATTAAAACCACATAGTTTAACAAATGGAAGTGGTCTGAAACAAAGCAGCTTTTAACAGGCTGAGTTATCGAGAGTTTTTGTCCATTAACATTCAGTGATATGTTACGTGATGGATGACTGATATACGTATAGTCTTGCAAGAATAAATAACATTTAAAACAAAGCACAACTTTATTCTTCTTTCCTAGAGCTCCGCTGCACCCCAGGGCAGTTTGCGTGTCGGAGTGGTACCATCCAGTGCATCCCTTCAAATTGGCAGTGTGATGGATGGCCCACCTGTGAGGATGAGAGTGATGAAGTTGACTGTCCAGGTAAGTAAACCTGAGAATTCTGCTCATCCCAGTGTCAGCTTGTTTTGCAGCAGTACTCTGACTCTTTAAGGTCACTTGCTTATTTTTATTTGATAGTGGAGGTTGGTTGATGGAACTGTACCCGTAATTAACAAACTCTGAGTTGTCTTCTTTTTCTGGTTTTTTGCTTTCATTCTTACAGTCTGAGTAGGTATCCTGGAGATGATGTAGTTTAAAAAGAGACTTTCATGACAAGGAGAAAATCATGTCATGATTAAATGAAACATAAGCCTGTGGTTAAATTCAGAATTACTGTTTTGGTTGTATGTGTATATCGCTCAAACTGGGTGACATGGTTGGACTTAGGTAGAGAGCTTGTTTTATTGCTGCCTATTCTGATTATGCTTCTTGTGCTTAAGTGAAGAACTTTGTTCTGCCAAACAAGCTAGTGTATTAACTCTTCATCAACTTTTGTGATCATATGCTTTCAGGAGCCTGTCACCAGCAGTGGTTCTCTGCTAAAGCTGCTGGGTACGGAGATGTCTTAAAAAAGGCAAACAGAAGTTTTTGATTGTGAATATATGTAATCACAATTTTGAACCTTTTCATTTCTTCTTCACAGGCCAGTGCATCTCTTTTATTGTGTGTCTTAAAACTTTTCTCTACAGTGTCAATAAATTACATTCAAAATCTGGTTTAAGATGTTCTTTGCCACTAAAATAATTATTTTGCTTGGGAGAGAATCACATCAACTTTGCAGCTGTCATCACAGCATGCAGTCTGTCATCATTTGGAGTTTTGAGCTATTTTAGAGAGGTGCTACAAGACAGTAACATCAGTATTTTACAGCAATGAGCTCTTCTAAATATACATGTTTTCTAGTGGAATTAGAGAAGTAAATCTAACACACAAACTTTGAAGCTGTGCTATAGTTAGCCATCTCCCCAGTGTGTGCTATTCGCAAATAATTGAAAGAATGTGTTCAATGCTGTCTTGTAAAAAGCTTTTACCTAGTTTGTGTGAGCGTATATATTCACAGCATGGGGGGAAAAGCCGTTGGTAGTTTCTTCTGACATTGAAAAATAAGCTGTGCCATTGATATCTTATTTAAGGATATTCTTTACAATATGGATGTCCTAAAGAAAGATGCCTTTATAGTTGTGCTGTTATTTTCTCTCCTTTTTAACTTTGGCAAAATGTGGAAAAATATGGACCTAGTAAAATTCTGGAGGTTAATGGAAGTCAGTGGCTAGGGGAAGGCAGAGTCGTGTTTGGATTTACTCAAAAAGCACTGAAGGCTTCACTTGTGGGAATACTGGAACATCTACATTAGTAGAAAACAGTATTTTTTCTCTTGTTGCCTAGTGTATTGGTCAGCAATTTAAGTTGTTGCCTGGAAAGTGCAAAAGCATGATGTTGACTCAAGGACTGGAGTTAAAAAGAATGTTTGGTATATGGCTAGGAAAAGGATTTTTATGAAAGTAACATTTCTCAGTAGATAGGCCCTGCTTTTATGTTTGGGGTGTAGGTCTCACTGGACTGTCTGGCCTGACATGTTGAGAAGAACTTTAAGAAATGAAAGGAGACATGTAGGAGAGATTTGATTCATGGCCATGTCTGTGTACAGAAAGAGGAGAATAACATATGTAAAGACTACTAGAGGGGAAAATGATGGACAGCATAGAGAAGGAAAGTATTCCACTTGATGAGAAGAGTAATTGGATAAGTAATTGGTGAAAAGGCTGTGCTTGGTGAAACAGCCAGAAAGCTGGGTGTGGTGTTTATGAAAGAACTGGGATATTTGCACAGTAAGGCAAGGAGTGTAGCCGGCAAACCAGAGGAACAAGAACTACTGGTGTAGGATGTAAAAATTCTATTATACCTGTAACAAAAAAATTGGTGGGATAGCTTTGTGACCCAAAATAGGCGTTGAAGAACATGCGTTACTCAGAACTGTCAAGAATAAGGACAGGTTGGTGTGTTGGTGTGCATGTGAATGGCGTGCTGGATCACGAAGGGGAATAGCATAAAGTAAAAAGTCTGAGGCTAGAGTAAGTTTGGAAGAGCATGGTTTTCTTCTGTTGGGGAAGGCAATACATATGTGACTAGTCATAGGAGAGACTGAGTCCTGGTAAGTTGATTGGAGAGCTAATGCTACTAATAATAGTACTACATAGTCATACTCAGGAGTGGTAACTTTCTTCTTTGGCCACTGAATTAACAAGAAACGATGCAGCTTTAAATTTAGAAAATACCTTTGGATTTAGATGAGCAATTGTGAGATGATTCAGCTAAATTTAAATACTTTTTAATTAAGGTTAATTTCAATAAAGGCAGACCGAACACTAAAAGAACAAGTTAATGAAGCCACCTGGAGTTGTGAAACCTGGAGAGTTAAAGTATCTTTAAATTAAAAGGTATGAAATCTCTCTGAAGCATGAAAAGAGCTTGCAAGAAAGGGTTCTGAATCTGGCTGGGAAACTTGTTATTTTTCAGCCTTTGAGCTACTAATGGCACTTGCCAGCATGAGGAACTCAGAAAGATCAATGGCAGTGAATTAGGGTTTTGTGGTGGTGATGAAGGTGTATTTCAATGACTACTTGTCATGTTGGTGTTTTCAAAGGTTTAATATGAAGACATTGTAGGTTTTGTCACTGTTGGTTTAGTTCAACTTTTTTAGGTCTGATTCATTCACATTGGTAACAAAGCTCCTATTAAAATCAGAGGATCATAAATTAATAAATTATTTTGGTGATCATATGTTGTCTGAAGTACAAGGAAACAGCCCAAAACCTAAGACCTTTTTTGTTAGAATAATTTCTTCTGGCATTTTTTTCAGAAGACAATTAGGTAGGACATTAATTCATTGACCATCTGAATAAGTGTATGAAATGCCTATTTTTGCTAGACATGTATTTCTCTGAACACAGTCATTATAGCTGTTTTCATTCTTACTGTCTCTTTACAGAATGATAATCTTCCTTTAAAACATGGAATTCCTTTCAGTCTCAGACTTGCAAAGTGTGAAGTGCTGTTCCCCCTGCCCTTCCCACTAGGCAAGCAAATGTTAGTGAAATCTGCAGCAGTGATTACCCTCGATTCATCTCTGGTAGACTAAAACTCTTGGCTGCTTCCTCTTGTGAGCATACTAAAAATTGCTGGGAGGGTTTATATAGCATGTGCGTGCAACTCTCTTCCACTTAAGCAGTGGAGACTTGGGAAATTTGTGTACTGTTCCATATTAACAGTAATTGATCCTAAAAATAGTTTATCCCAAAGTGGTGTATTCTGTGAAATGGTAGAAACAGGCATTAATATGTTTAATACGGACTTTTACAAATGGGAATTTCTTATTTCTACTCACTTTCTCTCATGTTTCTATACAAGTACTCAAAAGAGTAACACAACTTTTTCACCTTTGTAAAAGCTCTGCATTTAAACCGGTAAGAAGGAAGGGCTCTGCAGTTTGCCTTTTACTGCTCATGGGATTTCCAGCCTTGCTTCTACCAGAATATCAGATCAGCTTCTGCAAGTATCCTGTTGTCCTTGCAGGCCTGTTGGGCAAAATCCATTTTCAGCAGTATAAGCGGAGCAGGGTTTACTATAGCTCTGGCTGTTTACCTGTTTTAATCTTATGCTACAGAGTTGATGTTTGTTTCTATTACGTATGAAGAAAAAATGGATGTCTTAACCTCCAGTGCCTGTCATAATTCCTATGCATACCAGTTTTTCAGCTTGCAATATGTTGGTGACCAGTCTGTTTTGTCCATTTATTTATTTATTTATGTTTTAAATTGGATTCTTCCCAGGAATAAGTGATCAGATTGTGCTGTCAGCTGTCCTTGGGCTTATTCCAGTATCTGAATTTGAAACCCTTCAGTTCATCCTGGAGTGCACACCCTTGCCTAATGCCACATTCTTCCTGTATAAGTTATTTCTCAGTTTTCTAGACCTACTTGGTCAGAAACAGGAACACTGGGAAGTTTCAGGTTTTCCCTGCCTGAAGCCAGTCAGCACTGGACGGCTGGCCACCCTGGTGGCCATGGTGCTGGGCCAGCAGTTGCAAGCAGTGGCTAGTTAGTGGTGTGAGCTGCCTTGTAGTTCCATGGCAAACAGTACAACTTTACATGTTTTTATGTTGAGATTGGGAGCCTAATCTCATGCAGAAACAGTCTTACTAGGAAGCCAGCTGTTAAATGCTTATCTTGAGCAATGGCCTCTTGTATGCTGTTCTTAAGGACTTCCACAGATTCTATATCAGGAAAAAATGTGCAGACCTGGAGGTCACCCCAGGACATACACACTACATCGTCTTTGAGGCTGCAAAATCTCCATTGTGGAGCCCACTGGAGGTATGGCAGGTACCATAAAGCAACAGCCACAGCATACTGTTTTGCAATCATCGTAAACAACTTTGTGTTTTGTTTCACCAAGGTTATAGTGTTTGGACAAAGTGACTCTTGTCATTTGTGCACTTCTTAGTACATCTCTCTCTTTTTTTTTTTTTTTTTTTTTTTTTTTTTTTTTTAAAGCTAGATAATAATGATAAAAACCTCCGATAATTTCCATACATTTTTCAGGATCCTTTCTGAACTCCTGTATGAATCATCCTTTTTACCCTACTTCAAATTATTATGAGCGCTTTACTGTTGTTCTGTTACTTTGAATAGTGCTCAGCGCAGCAGGATGCTGTTCTTGGTTGGCATCTGTTTCCTAGCACAGAACAATTGATAATGCAAAGCATGGAGCTGCTTTATTTCAGAAGAATCAGTCCTCTCTGGGGACTTCTGAACTGTGTTTCCAAGTCTTTAAGTACAAAACTGGATTTTATCCTGAAGTTATCTCACCTCTCAAATTATCAGATGGAAAGAAAAGCTTTCCAAGCTGTAGCAGGTAATATGTTGGACAGCAAGTTGGAAGCTTAGGGGACAGGGCAGCTTCTTACCTAAATTTTGGGAATCTATGTGTTTAAACAGGTGCAGCTTAAATCTTGGACAAATAAGATATGACAAGGACTGGTTGCTTCAAAGTTTTAATTTTGACATAATTTGACACAGTATGTCCATCCTTTTGAAGGGTTTGTCTTGAGTGACTTGTCACCTGTGACACAGTAACTCTGGAAACTAGTTCAACTCCCCAAAATCCAATATATTCCCCTTTGAGTCCTGACCCTTCAAGGACCTCTCTTTATTACAGTCAGTGTCTTTTGCCTGCCTGCCCTTTTCTTGGTGCCAAGCAAACCTTGGTGTGTGTGGCAGATTGCAGTTTCTCTTCCAGCTCCGCCAAACACAGTTTTCCATTTGGCGTCCTGTTTGTTCCTCCATGCAGTGCTGCTCGGCACGTGTATGTTCTAGCCTGTTCCCATCTCAGCTGGTGCCAGCTCTCGCTTTTGTGTGGTCTCAGCTCTTTGGCTCACGTTTTTTTTTTTTTTCCTGGTTTTTTTTTTTTTTGTTTTTTTTTTTTTTTTTTTTTTTTTTTTTTTGTTTTGTTTTGTTTTTTGTTTTTTGTTTCCTTTTACTTGGTCTGAATGATGGAGGTGCTGAGGGGGACGACAAAGGAGTTTTCTGCTCTGCTTGTGTGCTTGGCTTCCCTTAATACCATGTGCAAAGAAAGCGTTGCTGAGATCCTGTGGATAAATGCAGCAGGGTAATTTCCATGGGTATACATGGCAGAGTATGCACAACTTAACTGAATCCCTTCCACCCTCTATGAGTAATGGCAAAGCTCATATTTCTTTCAGACTTGACTGCAATTTTCCCTTTCCATTTTTTTCATGTCCCCAACAGGATCAGCAAAACTTGTACCATGGCACAAAGCATTTTCTGTGAGCCAGAAGGCTATGTTTTGCAGGCTGCAGTGACAGCACTTGTTCAACTACAAGATAGTTAGAAATGTAAGCAAATTTTCTTCCCCTTCCAATGCTCACAGAATCAGCAGTGTTGGGCAACTTTCCGGATGTATAGCACTATACTTAGGCTGTAGTCATGCTAGAGTGAATTAGATAGCAACTGTATATTGACAGAAGCTCTGTGAATACTAGTCATGGCTTGATCCATTTGGAAACGGGTTGGAGGATGCTTATGTCCACCATGTTACCATATTTGAGGGAGAAAAAAAAATTTGCACCCCATGAATTTTTCCTTGGACCTATTTTTCCCTTTTCCTCACCAGCTGACTAGCAAATTTCATTTCTGGTATAATTGTAAGAAGTCAAAGGAAACAGGACTCTTGTCTTGGATGGTGAAAATATCACTGTTGCTGTTGGTTATAGTATCTAGAAGAATAAAGGCCTTGGAAAATCACTGATCTTCCAAAATTTGATAGCTTTCAAAATACTAAATACGCACATAAGCAATAAAAATGAAGGCTTTTCCTTTCTGAAACACTCAGACATGATTAGGTTGTGACTTTCTGGCTTAGGTTGTTGTCTTAAAGCTTTGTCTATGGCACTATTAATTTATCTTTTTAAAGATAAAAATACTTTTATAAATTAAGCAAGGACAGCAGAGTACGTAGAAAACTTTTCTTCAGAGTACTGAAAATGTACAATAGAAAACCAGTCCAATTATGCCTTTGCCACCAGGATCTGCAGTGACTTTTCATGGCAGTCAGGTAACTTAGAGGCTTGTTAGCATCTCTGTCTTTATTGCCCGGGAAAAATTTGTCATTGTTGCTTTTCTCGGAGACTGAAAATTCAGGTCAAATAGAAGCAATTTACTATTTGAAGAGCACTAGTTTATTAAGCAGCTGAGAGTGTTGTGCTTGAAGGAGAAGTGACTTGTGGCGGCTGCTTTCTGCCTCTTCAGTCCTGCCTGGTTTCAGCAGCAAGTGTGCTGACACAGGCAGATGCTGAGGAAGGAATGAGTGTCCTGCTTCCTGGGTGAGGACCGACTTAACTTGCTCTGTGTGGGATCTGTGTAGCTATTTTTCAGAGCATCTGGTATAAATTCTGTCACTTTAAGATGCTAACCCAAGTAACCCTTTCTTAACCTTGCGTGTTAAAACCTGTGAACTTCTGCTTTATTCCCGGAGGAGGTGAATTGTTAAGTCCTCGTGGGCGTTCTGTTTAGCCGTGGAGGGTCAGCCATATGGTGTTGCATCTGCTCTCACTTCTGAAAGGGAACTAATTCTGTGTGCGTTTGGTTCTTACTGGTTCTTTGGGTTTAGTTGTTACCATTTAATGCCATGGGAAAATAGAGCTTTCCACACTGAGCTCAGTTCATCTTTGATGAAGTGTTCTGCATTAGTGTTATTTTTAAAGTCTTGCTATAATTAAGGGTTTGCTTTTTTTAGTTTCTCAGTATTGCTCTGAAAATCACAGTGTAAATACTGCTACTGAACCATTGGGATTAAGAACGAATTCTAAAACTAGATTAGCCTTTAAAGTAATAAAAAATAATCAGCTGTCTTCACTGTCAAATTATTTTACCATTTTGTGTCCTTTGAAACGTAGACTAACTGAATTTCTTGGCACTAACTTCTTGCTTGTGATAAATAGCATATTCTAATACTGAACAGTTAGAATTACTACTTTATTCCCATAAGGCCATGTGAGTGTATTATGCATGGCCATTTCTTAATGGGTTATCTCTAGACATGTAATTCCTAGGATAACGTGATAATTAAATATCCCTTGCTTATCCCATTAACCGAGGGCAAACTCAGTATGCTAGAGCCAGACGAATGCAAAGCTACTCTGCTATTCCTAGGCTCTTGCTAGTGATTGTTTTGTTCATCTGTGCTAAGATTTGTTCCAAAGAGTGCACTGTTTGATGGTGGGTCTTCTGGAGGTCTTTCCCCCCAGGTAGTACATCAAACAGTCTGCAACTCTGGGTTTAAATTATCATGAAATTGCTGGGGACCTCTGGCTTTTTAAAGGTAGTCTGAAAAGAGAAAGTTTGATTGACATAGTTTTGAATATATTTCAGGTGGATGTAGTTACACCTGTTGAAGATGACTGTGTAGCCCCTCTTTATTTGGGATCATGACTGGTTTATTTGGTTTAGCTAGGCTAAATAGAGCTAATCAGCTTTAAAGGAAAATAAGCTGATCTTTTTATATAGAAATGAATGTCTGCAATAGCTCTATGTGGTGGTGAACTCTATTACTTTAATAACATCTAGTAATATTAGATAATGTACTAGTAGATATTTCTAATTCTTACATTCTCAGGTTCTTTATTTTTCTGTTTCTAAGGTTAATCCCTTGTTTCCAGATTAATCTTTCCCAGTGCTCATCTCCATCTTTCTTAAAGGTTTCTCCCCATCACCATGCCAGCTTTCCTAGGATCTTGCTAGTTTTGCTGGCTCCAGCCAGCGTCTCCACCTGAACTCCTGGTAGACATGTGGAGCCCCCCGGTCCTTTTCCTTTTTCTGGAATAACATCATGGACTGTGTTCATCCTAAGTTAATGAATCCAGTTGTTGTGCACACTTGTTAGAAGCCATGAGACTGAGATGAGGGTGTGTATGTGTTTTGCTTCAGCAGTAGCAAACTAACATTTCCTCTAGAAGCTTGAAAGTGGATAAAAAACCTTGTTGTTCTGACTGAAGATAGGTTTCCTTTTGTGGTTTTAATTTTGTCCTAGGTCTCAGAGAATGTGTTGGAAAACGTACTGGGAAAGTTGTCTTATATCCTGGAACACACAACTGCAAAATGAAGCAAGTAGAGAGTAGGTAGCTCTGTAAACAAGAACAGATAAAATGCACTGGGGATAATATGTTTGCTACAGCAATTGAAATGACGAGCGTTAAGTCCTGTGTATAACTGCAGGCTGTTGAGAATCTGCCAGAATGTTTTGCTTACTCTGCAAGACTCATGTAGTGGCTTGTTGGTTCTTTTTAATTGTAGGTATTTCGGTTATGTTTTGTGAAATGGCCAAGCAGGGATTTACCATCTTTGTTTACCTACATTACTTACTGTATGTCTTGAATTAAAACCCAGACAAAGATTAATAAAATGAAGTCTGCCTTTGCTTGTATCTTTCACCAATACTGACTATGCCTTCTGGTCCCCAGGATTGACAGGGGACCAGCGAACTTACCATGGGAAGGAGAATGTGGACTCCAGGCACAATCGAGGGAGAGGAGGAGAGACAACACGCTTTCACACTGTCAATGTGGCACAGCCTGTCAGATTTAGCAGTAAGTTGCAGACTGGGAAATCTGGGGCATCTTTCTGCAATTAATTTACCAATTTAGGCTACTTTTTTAAAGGAGAAATTAATAGATTTGCATCGCTCTTTGACCAGATTTTCTTAATGTGCACTGCTTTTTAAGGTTTTTGTACATTTCTTTTATATAAATATGTATGTTGTGCATATTAGATATTGTTATATTCTGTCCCATCTTAGTGATGCTACTGTATTCTGTCCCTTCTTAGTGATGTGAACAGTAGATCTTAAAAGATCCCATATAAATGGAGGGTAAAGAAAGATACTTAGTTCAAGGGCTTCAAATCTAAGCCTGTATATCATTATTTGATGATAAAGATCACCGTTTCTGAAGGGAATAAAGAGGCTTGAGAACAGGAACCCTGAATGCATGTAACGAACATAAAACGGTTTGTGTATTTGAAGTTCTTGGTTGTTGTGCAAAATTAACACTGCAAATGCAGGTGCTAAAATAATTTCCTGTCTGTTTTAAATTTCATCTGCCTGTTTCTGTGATTCTCTCTATTAGTTACCCGTCACCCCCAAGAATGCTTGTCAAAAGCCCCTGGGCCTATTTCATCCAGAAATGCCTCAAGGCTTTTGTTTTGATATTCCCTCAGTTGAGTTAATTGAGAGAAAGCAGAGACAGCGTTCATGCTATCACCTTCTTGTTGCTAAAGATCCACTTTGCAGTGATGTTTTTCCAAAGCAAACAACAGTTGCCCCAGAACCCCCATTGTCTTCAGTGATTGACTATGGGAGCAGGATTATGTGAATACTACTGAGACTGTATGTAAACGTTGAAAACTTCACAGCAAGTTGGATGTATTGCTAACCACCTAATAGAAAGACACAATCATTAAGTTGACCACCTCTGTTTTTTTCTTTCTGCTTCTTGCTGCTTGTTTTAACTTGGATTGATCGAACTGATTGGATTTACAAAGATGTGCAGGGAAATATCTTCCACAGTAGATCATCAGTCTTAATTAAAGGCTTTAAAGGCTGTCACAGTGCAATGAAACATTACTTGGAGTTGCATCTTCTTAAATATATTAATAACAATTTTCCTTTATCAAAAGCTGTAGTATACACCCAAGTGATTATGCATTGCATTGTCATGAACTGATAAGAATGCATTATCTTGAAGATCCTAATTTGGGGGGAATGGTTTCCCTTCTATTCTTCATGTTTCCTAGGAAAGTGCCCAACAGGATGGCACCACTATGAGGGCACAGCCAGCTGTTACAGAGTGTATTTAAATGGGGAGAACTACTGGGACGCTGTGCAGACATGTCAGCGGGTGAATGGATCCCTCGCCACCTTCACTGCAGACCAGGAGCTGAGGTTTATCCTGGCACAAGAGTGGGACTTGGAAGAAAAAACATTTGTAAGGAAGGACCAGCGTAGGTGAGTAGGAAGGAGAGGACAAAGATCTTGTATTACATGAGAATGGTTTCTGTGCAATATGAATGCTGGTAGTTCAGTTTGCTTACAAAATCTAATGATAAATTGACTTCAGGTTAACAGTATGCGTGTGCTGGTTGGTAGTTTGGCAGTGGCCATCTGTATTTTATAACTAACATTCAGAGATAGGCTACAATTCAGCAGTCTTTTTATCTTCAGGCTGTCTCAGCAATGTACTAGTATTCTTGAACTGCAGCAGGGAAGATGGACTTTACAAAGACTTACTGCTGCCCTGGCTTGTGTAGAAATAATTATTTAAAACTCAGTGGAGTTCTTGATTCCTTTAAATCCTGTAGCTCTAACAAAGACTGAAAGTTTGAGATGAGCATGAAGTAAAAAGCCATTTTGAATTGTAAGAACTATGTTCTGGTAGCTTTAGATATTTCATACTGTTAGCTCACCACAAACATAATTCCTTGGTTTTTGTCAGTCTTGTGGGCTGCCATTGACAGATCACCAGGAGTGGTTCAGTAATGCTCTGTCTCTGTCTCTGAAGAGTTAGATCTGGAGCAGTCTGACATGAGTCGTATATGTTTATAAAATATTTGACTTCTGGGTGCTTTTGTGTGGTTTTTGGGTTTGAGATACTGAAGTGCTGCTATAACAACATAATAAAGTGCTTATGAGTAGAAATAAAAGACATAGTGAGTTATCATTTGTAAACATAGAAAACTATCAAGTATTTTGCTCTATTCTTCAACTGCATCTATATATTGCCAACATAAGGGCTGAAATGCTAAGGAAAAAATCATCAGAATGTTTTGAAAGTTAGCTTTGAAGTATAAAGACATTGGAAGATTCTGTGTAATTTATTTTAACTTCTTAGTATGATTTTTGGCTTTTATCTTTAGAATCTAACACAATTTCTTCTAGGTTCTGGGTTGGATATCAGTATGTGATTACCAATCGAAATCACTCTCTAGAAGGTCACTGGGAAGTAGCTTATAAAGGTAGGCTCCCGAATTATTATTTAAATGGCCTATGGAAACTGTCTTGAAGTATGAATATAATTTGCAAGAACAATGTAACTCCTTTCAGTGATAGGGTTGAAATAGTGAAGGGGAACTGGTTTGCTCTACAGTATCAAAAGAATTTATTACTTGACATGCATTATATTTTCAAGTGTAAGAAGTTTCATAGTTTTCACATTGATATCTTGTGGAAAGAACATGTTTTTCAGCTTATTTGGGTTTTCCCCTTGATTAAGCTCAGAAAAAGGAAACTACTCTGTAGTTCCTTATTCTTTGTCTAGATCAATTGCTGATTCCTGATTCTAGTATTTGCACAGACTAGTGCAAGTAGCATATTTGGAGGTTTTAGCTTTCTAAAAATCGATAGATTTTTATGTACAAAAAAACCTTTCAACCAAACCCAATCTTGAGTTTTGGAGAAATACTCAGATTTTTTTCACTTTAAAGTACTTCAGATAGTTTACTTAAACCAAGATAAAATTTACCTAATACCAGAAATAAATCCTAGTTATATGAAAAGCTGAGCATTAATCTGATAGGCATTAATCTGATAGGCATCACTGACTGAACTTTTTCAGCTGTAAAACCAGCAGCCCCCTCTACTGAAAATGCGAAGTTATAATTCAGTTGAGGGATTAATTAATCTTAAAGTTGTTACATCATAGAATCACAGAATGGTTTGAGTTGGAAGGGACCTTAAAGTTCTCACAGTTCCAACCCCCTGCCACGGACAGGGACACATTCCACTAGAGCAGGTTGCTCCAAGCCCCTGTGTCCAACCTGGCCTTAAACACTGCCAGGGCTGGGGAAGCCACAGCTTCTCTGGACACCCTGTGCCAGCACCTCAGCACCCTTACAGGGAAGAATTTCTTCATAATATCCAATCTAAATCTACCGTGTCAGTTGCTCTTATGTGTAGAATTGAATCTGTAAATGCTCTACTGGTTTAGGTAATGGAATGGGGTTTTTTTAAAGCACCAGCATTGTGAATTCCAGTATAGCATTTGAAAACTAATCTGAATAGTTTTCTTCTCATATACAAGTTTCAGTAATGGAAAACCTGGAAGGAAAACTGGCCATTAGGTACAGATACATAATTATGAACAGAATTTTGCTGAACGGTTGGGTCTCGAAAAATATTTTGACACACGAGAAGTAATAGAACCCTGTGTGGTGCCATGCCCAAAAATACTGGTTTCATCATTTAAGTGAAGAGAGTTGACAATATTCAGAGGAAACTGCTGCTTCTTGGGGAGGCAGGATCATTTTCATTATTTCCTTAAAGCAAAACACCTGAAGATGTCTTTGGACAGCAGGGGAAAGGGAGGAAGGCAAGTCCAATTTTTTTCCCATAATAATAGGGATTTCTGGTCCTGACAAAACTGTTTATGTAGGTAGGTTTCTCCTGGGAAGCCCATATGGTGGTGGTGGGGTAACGGACCGACGGACGAGAAAGCATTTTTCCTTTAAAAGGCTTTTGGTCTTCGGGAAGTTGACTGCACTGCCATCTGCTGGCAGAGCGTTTTCTGCCAGGGAGGCATAAATTACAGAAAAAATAGTACTTGTTTTTTATCACGAGTTTTATTTAATTTGATGTATTATAAATGTAAGCCTTCTCAATACTATATATTGTTTTGTTTGAAAGCTTTCTATTTAATAAAGGGGTACCTATATGAAATAAAGTACATAGTAGTACATAATAGCATTCAGTAGCTTCTGAAAAATTTTGCTTAGGACTCATAGTCTTAAAATGCAATGAGATTGCATTTTAAAAAAATAAACATCATACCTTAGAGTGTTTAAAAGGACCACAAGAGCTGTTAAAATCAATGTTTAAGCACACAGATTTGGAAAGTAACTTCTGAAAACAGGCTAATTTTGATAATTGCTATCTTGGTCTCCCATTAATCTCTGCAAGTTTGCATACCAGCAGATTTAATAGTGAAACAAGTCACTGGTTAGAAACAACACCTCTTGCACTGTATTCAACCCATCACAATAGTCTCTTAAGTTACCTGAGCTGGAAGGACCAAATAGTGTATACCACCACTGCAGCAGCAGAGGCAGAGTTGCAGGCTTGTTTTCTGCATAGCACTGTTCTGCACTCTTGAGTGAGTAGCATAAGATATGGGGGAGCAGCACATGGTGTTCAAGGCCAGATTGGACAGAGCCTTGGGCGACCTAGTTTAGTGGGTGGTGTCCCTGCTCATGGCAGGGGGGTTGGAACTAGATGATCTTAAGGTCCTTTCCAACCCTAACTATTCTATGATTCTATGATAGATGTACGCACATCTTTGGAGTGCCAGATACGAGATTGGTACAGGTTCTTACTCCACTGGTAGAAAGCATGGCCAAACTCAGTGTTGTTTGAAAGGGTGCATAACCATTGGTAGGCAGCCCCTGTGGGACTCCAGAAAGCAGCACTTGTAGAGATACCAGAATATCACTGCCACTGGTTCAGAATGACAGAATTACCCAGTACTTTGAAAACAGCAGCCTCTTCTCTCTGTGAGTCACCCCTTCCCTCCTTGCTTTTGCCTTCCCCCGGAGGAAGGAAGAATGTTGCTAATGGAAGCTAAAGCTAGAGGACAGTAGCCTTGTAGCAGAGTTGGTGTGCATGAAATGAGTGACATTACAGAGCCTTTCTAAAGCTTTGCATACCCACAGGCTGCTTACGCTAATGCATTTCGTTCTAGGCTCTTCAGAAGTATTTTTACCCCCTGACCCTATCTTTGGTACGGCTATGTCTGAAAAGGAAAATGTTCTTTGTGCCCAGCTTCAGTGTTTCCATTTTCCTACCCTTCGGCACCATGGTTTACACAGCTGGTATGCTGAAAACTGCTATGAGAAATCTTCATTCCTTTGCAAAAGGAGTAAGTTGGTTTTAGTTCAGTGTTTACTGTGTTGTGTGTTTAAATATAACAAAAATGGGGACATTTATTAGTTATCCTCCCTACCTTCTATCCAGTGAATTAAAAAAAAAAAAAAAAGAAAGAGTGTAGGAGTTAAATTTCCGCTTGGTTTAAATAAATAAGAACACTATAATGTGTGGTTGTCAGCCACAGTACAGATTGTCACTAAAAAATTACTGTTGAGCAGCTACATCTGCCCCAAAATAAAGTATACTTGGGAGGGTGGGGGGAAAGTTAGAAAGGAAAGAAAGTTAGAAAAAAAAGTGCCTTATTAGGAAATATCACTCTTAAATTGTGTCACATGAAAATGAGGAAATGTTTATTTCTGGTTTCTTTTTGCATATAGCAAATTCTGTTAAATTCTTTTCAGCTAATGATTAGAACTGGGGGGTAAAAAAAGCAAGTGCAGTTACTGACTTAAAGTGGGGGAAAAAATATAGCTTTTATTCTGTATCTTGTTTTTTTTCACTCCAAAAGGCCTGATACCAACAGAGGTATTGGCAGTATTTTCAGGTAACATTTAAGATGCCTGATATTGATGGTACTTCTTTCAAGGAGAAACGTTGTTGAACTTTTACTGCAGTTCTTGAAGCTTTTCTAGTTGGCTTTTTCTTTAAAGCAGGAAAAAGACTTTGAGAATGGCAAGAGAGGAAAATTCAGCCCTTTATCTGCTTTTGCACCTGAAATACAGGAAGAAAGGATATTGCCTTGTCTAACTTGAGATGTAATAAAGTCTTGGTATCCGATATTGAAGGATGTGTGTTTTGTCAAAATGATGATCAAAAGAGGACCTTTTTAGTCATACCTGAAAGTGTGTTAACTCCATTAAATAATTAAAACTCGCTTTGTCAATTTTGAGCAGTAAATCATCCCTGTGTGCCTCTAGACTATCCATTATCTTCCCCACTCCTTAGTCATCCCTTTTCAAAGTTGCTTTAATGTGAAGGCGTGACTTCTAACTGATGGCCTGCTTATGTTTACAAATCACTTAATGTAACAGAATAAACTGGACTGCTGTCTGGCATGCTCACAGACACTTGGATATTGATGTGCGTTTCTGTTCTAGGCCAGACTTGTGTTGATATCAAAGACAACATTGTCGATGAAGGCTACTATTTCACTCCAAAAGGGAATGATCCCTGTTTGAGCTGCACATGTCACAATGGTGAACCTGAAATGTGTGTGGCTGCTTTGTGTGAACGGCCCCAGGGGTGTCAGCAGTATCGCAAAGACCCTAAGGAATGCTGCAAATTTACATGCTTAGACCCAGGTAAGAGCTGACTGCTACAGTTTTGCCAGGAGAAATTAGCTCAGTGCTCAACTTGGTTATCTTTGGGTATAACATTGTTTGTTTGAAATGATGCATCCTTTCCATGCCTCCACATTGGTGGGTACAAACTCCCTGTGGAGAAAGATATTAAAGCATGGAAAATGGAACATTTCAGACCATGTCTGTAAATAATTAGTCATCCTTGATGTTACTTACATAGGAGAAGCAGTAGCTTATTTTCTATATGGAAGTTGACACTACACTGGATTTTTTAGAAGCACTTTTTACATGGTTCCTCTATTGCATTTAGTTGTCATAAAAAGAAAATACTTTTCTCTTGAGCACTAATTAAGCATCTTTCCATAGACATGAGGATTTATCTGACTGGAAGCTCACATGCAGGATCACATGGGAAGCAGAGTTTATAAATTATATAGAGGTTCAATAATAATCCAGACATGCAACCTTGCTTATTGGATTTGGCATCTTGGTGCAGCTTCTTGTTTTGGATCAATAAAGACTTCAGTTGACTTTGGACTGTTTGTCAGTCTTCATTTGGGGATGTAAATTTTTTTTTCTTGGGGGGTGGTGGTGGTATTTTTCTGTAAAGAGACTTGTAAAAGGAAATGTGTCCTACTTGGAATTTATTGTGAGGGTGGTCAAACACTGGAGCAGATTGCTTATTTCTATCTGTGGGGATATTTAATGCCTGGTTGGATTCTGTCCTGGGGAAATTACTCTAGCTGATGCTGATTGAGCAGGGTTTGGACTAGATGATCTCAGGACATACCTTCTGACCTCAGCCATTCTGTAATACTGTTATTTCCTGGTATTTTAAAAGAACCCAGTCTTATGTGAGTGCACTAAGAAGCTATTCCTCTGCACTCCTTATGGAAAACATGGAAAGTCAACTCACTCTTCCCATCACAGGCTTCTCTTTCAGCCTGTTACAAAAAGGGGTGCTTACTGGCTTCCAAATTTGCAGTCTTTTTTATGTCTTAACTACAGAAGTTAATCATTAAAGGCCTTTGGCTTCTCCTTGGTGTCATTCATATTTGTTCTGAGGGTTAAGCTTAACAGATGTATGTAGCTAGTGTTGCAGGTTGGTCGGTGAAGGAGTGGGGGGAAAAACAGGAGTCTTCCTTCCATTCTTATCAGCAGACTTAAGGCTTTGTCGTCACTTTTTTTTTTATCTTCAGGAACAGTGTCAGAAAAGCATCATCCAGCAGACAGGATAAGATGACCTGGGATAACCTCGTGCTGTGTTCTTTAATCCTTGCTTATTGCTGTAGGTCTTAACTATTTCGTGAATACTGATTTGAAGAGTGTATTTTACCACATCCTTCCTGATCCTTAAGCTCTTCTTTCTGTACTGCTGCTAAATAAGACACTTTCATTATACTCTTGCCTGAGCTGAAGAATCATCAAGCAGTTGTCAAACTTCCTTCATAATGAAGTTACTTCAGCTCGTGATAAACACTGAAATTTTTAAATGAAGCATTTCAGTTTTCCTTCTGAGTGTTTATAAATGACTATTCCAGATGACAGAATTAATGAATTACTTTCTTTAATCAGCACGTATTTATCTTTGTCCGACTTTTACATATCTCTTCCCTAAGCTCTGTTGCAAAGGAAAGAAAAGAGTTTACTAATCAACAGTAAGTAAATTAATCACCCAAGGAGAGACTGGGGGGAAATAAATCCTGCTGTTGGGTTGGCAGGTAATCAGTTCTCACAGTGTGAGTGGGTGAGCAATGATTACAAGTAGATAGCGAATATTACTCAAGGATTGATAGTAGGGAAATTCTTCAGTGGTAGGAGTAAGCAGAGCAATCACAGCTATACTCACTTGAAAGATGCTTCTCCTCATTCATTTGAAGATAAATAGCAGGGGAAAATCTTTCATGCTGCTCCACAGATGTGGTAGAAAACATTTTTTCTGTGTGGCTCTTGTTTAGACAGACCTGCAAACTCCTATTTGTGAAAAGGTGATAAAATAAATAAAACGCTTTGAAAGAGATGATAGTGCAGAAACTTTTTTAGTGACTAAACTAGTGCAGTTACAGGGTATTATGACTGTATTGGGTGTAAAACAGCCTTTCTGAAATAATCTGTTTGTGTGTGTGTTTGTGGGTTGGAAATATCTGTGATGACTTATCTTGTTGAGTACAAGCTGAATGTTTTTTTTGTTTGTTTGGGGTTTTTTTGTTTGTTTGTTTTTTGTTTGGTTGGGTTTTTTTGTTTGTTTTTTGTTTTTTTTTAAATCTAATTTGACCTGACAGTAGTGTATCCAGGTTGAACATTAGGACCTTTCACAGTGTAATAGAATGTGATAGAGGCCCAAGATGCCAAAGAAGGTCCATGAATTGCAGTTGCAGTTGGCATAAGGAGAATACGTGGAAGTCAGACTTTCTGCCTATAACATTGCCTGTGTGTATGTTTTACTTAAGTCACTTTATTTAAGGCAGCTAATAGCACTAATTTATGATGTTCATGAAGTTCATGTTGCTGTATAATGGAGGAACAACAACAGCAGATCTGTGTGTTCAGGAGGGTGTGTTGGTTGGTACGTGTGTGACTGTGTTGGTTTAAGCTCTGATAGTAATGAGTTTCTGAAAGGTTTGACCGCACAGAGGCTTTTGTACTGCGCAGACAGGTTTTAGAGGGTGTAATGTTTGAGCTCTGTGCATGGTGCACTGTTAAATGAATTTCTTGTTGCTGAGAATGCTTCACATAATAAATACCAGACTGTTAGCAATGTACTTTAACGATGTATGAATTTGGTGGATTTTTCTGTTACGAGCGTTTGTAGCAAGTCAGTGCTTCATCTGCTTCTTACCCACACCTAACCTGGGTGTGTTTCTCATTCAGAGATCTTTAGTGGGAAATTGGTGCAAAGAACACAGCACACTCATTTTTAGGTCATTTTTCTTTGTGTAGAGTATCTGTATGTGTACATGCTACTTAAGCATAACCAAGTGTGATTAGTTGAATTGTAAAAAATTAATACCTCTCATGTCTGAGCACTGATAGAACAGGGATAATTTGCTCACAACAGCCTTCCAAATATGGATCTGGTTAGCAACGATACAGAGCTCTTAGAAGTTCTGAACTCCTGGGTCTGTTTCGTGTTCTGCCACTTGCTTTCTGTGTGATCTAGAAAAAGATTGAATTCCTGTTTACCTTTATCTCTTCAGATTCTGAAAGATGATTATCATGTTGATTCACCTTTTTAAGGTATTTTTAGGTCCTATCATTTAATGGTGCTAACCAGTGTACCAATGATGTGGAATTGAGATGACTACATCTTGGCGATGGTAACGTTTAGAGATTTTGTTGACGGAAATGTAAAAGTTAAGATGTCCAGAAGTCATTTAGAAATAGTGTGTAGATAACACCAGTTCTCAGGCCTTTCCCATAGCTTCCAGGCTTGATGTTTCCTTTACTGTAACATCATCAGCTATGTCAGGGAGACAAAGGCATGTGCAAAATGCCACTAACCTTTCCTTTTCCTGATTTTCAGAGACCTGAGGCCTTCAACATTTTGTCCCTTTTGCTGATTAAGATATTTTCAGAAACACTTAGATCTTCTTGCAATAAATAGATAAATCACCTGATGATTCATAATTTTCTTACATTTTTGAAATATGGAGAAGTGTTAAACCAGCCTAATGAATCTCCACTCTACATTCATCTCTCCATTACTGACAGAAGAACATCAAGAAAAATGAGTCCTGAACAGAAGTATAACAGACTTCTTTTATATGTTTTCTGTAACAGATGGCAACAGTTTGTTTGACTCAATGGCAGGTGGAATGCGTCTGATTGTTAGCTGCATTTCCTCCTTCCTCATCCTCTCTCTGCTGCTTTTCATGGTCCACCGGCTACGCCAGAGGCGGAGAGAGCGCATCGAGTCTTTGATTGGAGCAAATTGTAAGTAGCCTATACCTGTAATAAGTCCTGACTGAAGTAGTGTATATGCTTCAGCATAAAGGCAGCAGAAGAAAAGTCAAGTCTGTGGAAAACATCAGGGAAAGTCTGGTAGTAGATTTTAGTCAGTACTGTACCCAGATGTAGGTCCGGGCTGGCTGCCTGGACTGGTCATGATTTGTACAAATTTTGGTTCTCTGAACCACTGCACATGCAAAGAAAAAATTTACATCAACACCTTGTGCCTCATGCTTATTACTGACAGATTGACGCACATAAAGGTGAGAAATGTTATGGTCTTGCTTGACTGTGCCTCTATGTGTGTGTCTTGGTAAGTTGTTCAAACTTGAACTTTAGACTATAATGGAAATTATTTTTTATGTGCTGCAAATCTGAAATATCTTCTGTGTGTCTTCTTATTTTGGAGAGGTTAGGTTAAAATTCTGAGGTAATGCAGGACAAACAGGCTGGGTTCAGGTGGGCCTGGGAATCATTGTGTAACAGCAGGGAGTTGACTTGTATAGGTTATTTAGACTTTTTTAGGTCTTCGGGAGATATGAGTGTCTTGGGTGTGGAAAGTGGAAAAAGGTGTTGAGATCTGCCTTAAACTGACGAAGAAAGCATGGGAGAAAGTCGCTTACTACTGTTTCTTTTCTTGAAATAGTGCACCATTTTAACTTGGGCCGCAGAATGCCTGGTTTTGATTATGGTCCCGACGGTTTTGGAACTGGCCTTACTCCACTGCATCTTTCAGATGATGGGGAAGGTGGGGCATTTCATTTCCATGATCCACCTCCACCCTATACTGCTTACAAGTATCCAGATATTCAACATCCAGATGACCCACCTCCTCCTTATGAGGCTTCTGTCAATCCAGACAGCATCCTTTGTTCCACTCCAGGTATGCAGGCAATAACTTCTCTTTTTTTTCCTCTTTTTTATTTTGGCTAGAGGGTAGATTAATTTTTTTTTTTTTTTTTTAAACTATCATCATGTGGTTTAGTGATTGTGATGAGAAAATATATTTAATGATAAAATCTCCTATTTCTGCAATGGAAAAGTCTTTTGTTAAAAATGTATCATTAAGCTTGTTTCTTCTCAAAGGTTCTTTGGAATACGTAAATTCAAGTAGAATCGTTGCTGCAAGTAGTTTAACTCTTAGACCTTACCAGTTTTCAAGCCTTACCTTGGATGGGTTACCTGGTTACCTAGTTTCCACTATTGTGGTACCTTTTCTGGTCTTCTGGAGATAAGTCTACAGAGATTGCTATTAAAAAGTAGAAGAAATGTCAAGTACAAGAGATTTTGAATAAAATCTATCCGGCATCTTCTCTCTTCCCCACTTCCCCCACCCACACCCCCCAAAAATTGACCAAAAATACCACTTTCTAATGATTCACCCATCACTCTTCAGTTTTGCAGCTGTGCTAGTCACATACTGTAGAAATCATTCCAGTTTGGGATTTTTATAGCAGCATATCTCACAAGATAAGTGAGCCTGATTAGTGCAAGTATCTTATTTATATATCAAAGTCTTATTTTTGCTACACAATTTTCCTCTTTTGTAGTGTCATCTCTTTGTGCATTAATGTGAAACTGGGAAAAACTCAGAGATTCTGGAAATACAGATAGTAAATCTATTTGGGAATGTGAAATGATATACCTCGCGTTCTGATTCTACTTGGTTTTTGTCTTTTGCAGATGGAGTTCTTTCTCAGACTGTGCAAAGCAGTCCTCCATCACTAGGAAACTGTGATGCATCCTCACAGCTTAGAGAGGGATCGCTTCCTCCCTCAGTTGGTCCTTCTCCAGTGGAGTTAGAAGACTCTGCTGACAGCAGCACCTTTCTTGTCCCTCCTGACACAGTGCTAAGTGAAAACACTCCGGCAGAAACTCTTACAGGCAGCCGTCACAGCCACTGTTCTCTCAATACCATTGTATAGAGGAAAAAAAAGCCGATCACTGGTCAGAGAGAGTTTTAGCAACTGTTTGCACAGACAAACACTAATCCGTGGTTTGAACTTCAGAAGGAATCTCCACTTTGTTTTTTGAACACCGCTTTTATGTTCTAGTTTAGGATTGTGCCTCTCGTTTTTTGGCTGTCGTTATTCATTCACTAATCAGTTTGTTCTGTAAATATGGATTGTATAACTGTTCTTTTTTTTCCATTGGCTATGGAAAAAAGTGCAGAGAATTCCTTTGACTTCTAAGGAGGTGAAAAGTATGGGTAGGGGTTTTACTTTGTTGGGTTTTTTTCCTTAACCTGAGAGGAAACAAAATCTTCATCAGAAAAAAGCTGCTTGGATTTGGCTGGATACCACTGGACCCAGGGAACAGACGATGGAAAAGGTGGGTGGGGGCAGTCACTACTCAATCAATTGCTTTCTCTCTTGCTTCAGTGCTATACTTGGAAAAGGCAGAGAAGACGGAACTGGAGGGGAAGGGACTAGGGCTTGTTTTACAAAGAGGGAACACCGAGGAGCTAAAACACATACCACCAAGTGAGAGTTACACAGTATAACACATTTGCGTGTTTTGATCTGCCTTGCTGTCTCAGAACACCATAGGGACTGCAGGATGAATGATCTATACAATATGTGACAAGGGGGTACTAAGAAAACTAGGATTTGCAATCACAATTATTTGTTGTTGGTAGCTGCAAAATCCGATGTTGTCGGGTAAACTTCTGGCCCATAAAGAAAACCGAGTCTTTGTAATGCTTGTGTCCCTTCAGTAGAATCCTCATATGTATTAGGCAGTACTTTAGGGAAGAGGTGGGGAGCACTTAATTTTGGTGCAGCCTGACTTCACTGTATGAAGCCCCTGTTTGTTATAACCCCATAACGAAGATTGAGGTGTTTTTTCTTTGTGGTTTAACTCCTGAACAGTTGCACAAGACTGGCCTGGATAAAAGGCCATTGTTCTTGCTTTTCTTATTGCATGCTATATTTAGCATGTGTGTTCCCTCCATTTCACTTCTTTACAGTTCTACAAATAACATTGAAAAGCAGTGATCAACACGCACTATACACAATGTTTAATTCTAATTGGACACTTGTTCCCTATCAGGGTCCCTTAAATTGCCAACCCTATTCTGGGGATTTCCCACGTGCCCCCCAAACCATTTATCCAGGTCCCACAAGGGGTTATCACGAGGTTAGTGTACTTAAATCAGTAAAGCGGTTTGCTTCAGTCAGATATGTCATCTTAAATTTCAGTTGAACTCTTTTTAATTTACAGATGGCAAAATGATTCATTCACTCCTTCACTAAACCCAATATCAAGCACTGTTGGTTTTGATAATGAACACAAAGTAATCTTTACAGGTGACTTTACATTTAAATTTTGATTTCGGTGCACAAATAATTTACCCTTTCTTCCCATCCTCCTCTTGCCTCTGCTTCTCCTTGACTTACTGTAACAGTCAGCAGGTGAGATGAATTGTAAGGAATTTGTAAGAATGCCCCTGTGAGTGTTCTCCTGTTACCTTATGAAGGGCAAAAGCCTAGAGGGACAGGAAGAAAACACTGCATGGGTGTGTGTGATCTATTTTTTCTAGTAATCATGAGAAATCATACTTGTATGTCAAATCCTACCCCACTGTTGTGGTTT